TGTGTTATAATCCTTTATTATATAAGTGATTTGTAGGGTCTTTATAGCTTCGATAAAGCCGTTTTTTATTGCTTGAACTAATCTCGATCAACAATTTGCGATAAAGCCATCATTCACTTGATACATTAACGAATGATTCGTTCAACTCACACGCATTACATCAATAATCGTTGATCTCAAGCTCTTCAATTACGGTGCTTTATGAACACAAACCTTCCACTAAGCAATTCTGTAGAAATATTCATTTTGGTCCATCACACAGTGAAAACTTCTGTGTTTGCACAGCGCAATTGACATACAGTTTTCAAAAGATGCTGAATGGAAAATGAAGTTAACGAAACCCGTAATATGCTCAATAAGCTGCTCATCTCAGCCGAAGATAACCATATTTTGAAAGAAACTTCAGAGAAGCGTATTGCACTAGGTCTTCACAAGACAGATTATAATACTGGATACGATCGAAAACTTATCGAAGTGTTCCACACGAGTTCGAATGTGGTGCATAATGCGCATAACGATCATCGAATCGCATCAAAGAATACCGCTAATCAACAGAGTTACATCGAAACGCTTCTTTCTGTGAACATATTTGTTTATATTCGATTGTTATCGCTCGAGAGCAATCGTCAAACCATTCTTTTCTGATCGCAACTTTGCGTTTAATTCATACCGCTTAATGCTGAAAACCGTCCAAACTCATTGACCAATCGAATTAGCAGAAAAACTTATTTTTACTCTTATATCTGATTACCATTAATTTTTCAACATCCGAATTCTTCAAGATATTATCTTCAATTTTTAATTAAGGTGCTGCTTGTACTACCTAAAAATACTCCACAAAGCAGCTGGACATGTGCATTCCTGATGTTTTAGCAACTGTCCATTTCATTAATTACTCTTTAATAATTGAATGAGTACTTTACAGGGTGAAAGACGATTCAATTATCCTGTATGAGGAGCTGAAATTTGGAACGCTTAAGAGAAAAACTTTCCAATGATAATGATTGGAGAGGAATTCAATATAAGATTGATGAGGATGACGAGAGATTCACTGCTCATCAAAACACTTGATCAAGCGATATTGCGAAGTGTTTGACTAGGGATGTCGCACTCAACAATGCTGATTGCACAGAGACTTATTTGGCGAGGTTCAACAGGCAGATCACTGGTTCATGTGTTCGCAAGACACTGAAGCACTTCACAGAATGGAAAGC